TGCAAGAAGTCAGAATGTCACATCTGTAGCGGATTGCTACGCTAGTTATGTATATTGTTTTGTAGACTTGTAGCGGATTGCTACGCTGTAAAGCCTGACTGACTCAGAAATCTCTATGGCAGAATCCCCTACATCTATCTAGACTCGCAGAACCAGCTAAGCTATAGCCCAGCTATAAAGGAAACAGACGTGTAGCACGGAGCACATTTACTCAGTACGAGTATTGCGGATGAAGTGTGTACACGCATGGAGCTACTCATGATCAGGATGGGGGATTAGGTTAAACAGGGGTTGATGATTGGTCACTGTTAGTACGGTCGCTGCACACAGAGTTGTACGGCCGCACCTCCCAATCCTGGCGAGCAGACATGCAGGCATACGATGACGCACACAGCGATAACGCGTCCCACACATCTTTAAATTTTTCATACAATTTATTAAAAATCTGTCTCCATTTTTAGCAAATTTCAGTGCATCTAGCGGAGAAGGATCGAGAATAATTCTCAATTTGGAAGAGGTAAGAGTAAATGGGTTTTTGGGCTCCTCTAAGCTTAAAGGTTTCAAAATATTTATTTATTTGTATCGAATGGCAAACCTTATGATAGTTATCATTAGCCATGTAGTTGACTTCGGGCTTCACAGCGGTTAAGAACAGACAAAGTCACAAAAATTCGAGAGGGGGAGCGGAAGAATGATTCACAAAGAGACAGGCACAAAGGTAGAGAAAAAGGTAAGGTGAGTACTGTGGAAGTGGTGGTGGTCATTGCTGTTTGATGTCAGAAGTCGACTTCCGGTTCATAAACTTTTTGCATATGAGTATACGTTGGCCAGGTTAAACCACGTGGAGGTAAGTCTACCGCACATCCCAGATTCCAAAATATCGCCCAGGGGAAATTTCTTTATTTTACCATTTGAGAAATGATCTGTAAATATACTATCGTCTGCATGATACACTGGAATATAATAAATGACAATTACGATTTTTAGCCAAAACTAATTAGATTGTGATAGTACTTTCGATACTAGGTTTTAAAGTTGAAACTGATTTGAAAATAGCGATTACTTGCTGAACAAGAAGTGCTTAACTGGAGAAAGGAGGCTGAATGCAGTTCACTGATTGGTGGCTCCGATTTGCGCTTAAGCTCGTTCTATTTTACACATATGATAGGGGATATTGATTTATTTATTTGTATCAAATGCCAGGCGTTTTGACAGTTATCATTAGCCTTTTAGTTGACTTCAGGCTCCACAAAGGGAAAGGAACATCAGAGTGAAAAAAAGTTGAGAGGAGGGGGGGGGGGGGGGGGGGGTAGAATAAAGAGACAGACACAAAGGTATTAAAAAGGTGAGGCTAGTAATGTTGAAGTAGTCAAATATGGCATACGGCGGGGTTATGGTAGTTTGAACTCGGAAATCAACAGCCGATTTATGGACTTTTTGCTGTACGAGTATACGTTACCCAGGGTGCACCACGTGGAGGTAAGTCTATCGCACACCCTATAATAGGGGATAAATTCTAATGAAACTCAGATTTGCAGATTTGGATGATGTTTTTTTTGTGAAAAGGAGCTTACATCCAGGCCTGTAAGATCCGAAAAGATGGTAGAAACTGCGACTTGATTTGTGAACCACCAGCAGAATGATTAGTGAGTACCAGTTGCTGCCTTCATCTGGTGTGTGAATAGGAACGCTGGAAAATCAAGTGAAAATCACCTTCTGCGTTAAGGAGGTAGAATCTCAAGTTGAATGTCGAAAGAATCCACTAAGCTATCAAATAATTACGCAAATATTCTACTAAGAATATCAAAAGATCCCAATTTCTGCACATGTGTTGCTCATGGTTGATCTGTAATAATGTGCTTGAATGTGCTAGCAATTGATTCTACTTCCAAATTAACTATCTCATTATTATTACTTTTTTTATTTTTATTTAATTCAGTACCTTGAGGCCCTAACAACTGCCTAGGAATCCACGTCCGCATTCCAATATTCCCCCTCCACCTCTCCCCTCCCCCCCCCCACCCCACCGAAAATTGCCAAAGCTTGCTCCAATCAATGTACATAACTCTTACCTCCTATAGATATCCTTCCAATTGTGTTCCTTGAGCATTCGACCTCCCCCCCCCCCAACTAGATTGCAGTACCCATTCTATAGAACCTTTTATTCCAAACCTTGTAACGCTATCTTTCAAGAAGACGCTATCTAGACCGCAAATCGCATATGTGCTATTAATATCTATTGGTAAATGCACTTGTGAAAATGGCTATAACAATGCATAAATTGCTCGTGTACACAATAAATAATATGGGGCTATTACATCATACCTTCCTAATTTTCGATGTATTGGGTGGGATATATTTATTTTATTTATATCAAATGGCAGGCGTCTTGATGGTTACCATAAGCCCTTTAGTTGACTTCAGACTTCACATAGGGGAAGGAACATCAAATTGAAAAAAGTCGAGAGGGGGGGGGAGGGAAAAGAAGAGTGATTCACAGACGTAAAAGAGACAGTCAGACACAAAAGTAGGAAAAAGGTGAGGTGAGTACTGTGGAAGTAGTCGAATATGGCATAGAATGAGGTGATGGTAGTTTGAAGTGAGAAGTCAACTGCCGGTTAATAGACTATTTTGCCGTATGAGTATACGTTACCCAGGGTGCACCACGTGGAGGTAAGTCTATCGCACACCCCGGGTGGGATATATAAAATGGCGCCTATGCTCTGACAATGGTAGTGCAAGTAGACGTTTCAAGTTTAAAATATGTGCTTGATTTGTCCCCTTCTGGTAATTTATTAATTAACGAAGATTAAACCAATAGGACTAATTTTAAGCCCACTACTGTGAATCTCACAAAGGCTCATGATTAATTGGAAGGAGGGAGAGAGATATATAGTACCTTATTAAAATTCTTTGAAGGCGTAGAACAGATGATTAAAAGGGGAGGAACTTATTTTACTTAGAATATCCCCCTTTTTCATTGAAAATGCAAACCATTTCGTCATGATTATTTGTGGGGTGTTTAGTAGGCATGTTTTACTTTATTAAAACTCCTCTTTTCAAAGCGCCTTTTTTCGCTTCGATTTCGTTCAAACTGCATCGGCCTATCAAAGTCCACGCATTTCCCCTAAAAGATGATTTTAGTATTCAATGCTTCTTCTAACTCTTCTCATACCGTGTCTGGTGGTCATATTCTAAACCACGAATGGAGGAGAGATATCCCCGTTATGGTGCTTCTTTATCCATCACCCCCCCCCCCTCCCAGTTACCCCATATTCAACATGCAACTCTTCAAGTTCAAAGATGTGGAAGAGATGATTTATAGCTAAAAAAAGGCCCTTTATTTAACAGAATCACCTTTACCTGTTAGGGCTTAAAATAGGTGATAACTGGTTGGTCGTCTGACTAGCCAATAATAGAGCAGCAACAACTACTTCACAGATGGTCTTGCAAAGTCAGGTCACAAGAATACTCGATTCGGCTTCCCAATACGGTTCAATTCAGCTCTTGACTAATGCCTGTTCAAAAATTGAAGCCACCACACGTGAGTCAATACTTTACCTAATTGGATCAAAATTATTTACATTGTGCTAAAATTATAACTTTAAGTCATTTATTCATAAGTAAATATGAGTTAATGTAACATTGTTATATTTGAAAATGTTTGAAATTGGACTTTTAAGCACAGCCTATGTGTTTTCTCATTTTTTAATAAAATAAAAATCCATAGACATAAATGTGGAGCAAGAACAGTGTTCTTAAAACCAGTTGTCATATTGTAATCGCTCTAATTTGACAAAAAGGTTCGTTAGGTCTACATCCGTACCGCTTTTGGTCAATATTGTTATATCGAACGGGAGACGTTTTGATGGTCATCATTAGCCCTTTAGCTGACTTCAGTCTTCACAGAGGGGAAGGAACATCAAAGTGTAAAAAATTCAAGAGAGGGGAGGGGGTCGAATAGAAGAGTGTATCAAAGACGAAGGTAGATAAGGTGGAAAAAAGGTGGGATGAGTACTGTGAAAGTAGTCGAATATGACATACAGTGGGGTCATGGTAGTTTGAAGTCAACTGCCCATTGATAGACTATTTGCCGTATGAATATACGTTGTCCAGGGTGCACCACGTGGAGGTAAGTCTATCGCGCACCCCCTTTTGATCAATATATATGTATATATATATATACCTGACACTTTCGATTATGGGCTCGATAAGTATCTATGGGTTTTTGAATTTGAAATCATCTTGATCAATATTACCTAGTTTATTGTTAACTCCAACGATAATATAGCCCATTTCGTGAATTTTAATCGTGGAAGGCAAATGATATCGGTCTCGAGAAAGTCCAAAAAATGATAAGTGGCCACATTACGAGTGAATGGGTTCCCGCATAGCTTAAAAATTTGCAACTATAGGCTTGTAAATCTAAGATCAGAATATTTGCGTTAACTATCTAAAATTAAATAGAGCTTTCATGACCAGCCACGGAACTAAATCAACCAAGAGAAACTGAATATTGTGGCCCTCGTCTCAACCAAGTTAATTCAGGAAAGTGGAACACTTTAGAGCTTAACAAAGAAAATGATTTCCTTCACAATTTATAAACAAAGATGAACCCGAAGCCTCCATCTTTTCGATCCCTTCTCCGTTTCCCATCTTATTGAAACCACTTGCTTACCTAGATGCCTGTCGTCCATAGTTTAGATTGTCGAAAGTTTTGCTTAAAAACCTCAAAGGGTAATAACAATATTAATGACGCCTAGAGCGAATCCGGCGTGATTGAACAACTCCGATTACCCCCTTTCTCATAAATCTAGCACGTGTTTGTCAATATGGAGCAACCGGAGATAAGAAGTCAGAATTATGACAGAGTTGCACAATGATATTGAAGAAAAACCATACAAAAAACTCCACTCCTTCGACATAGAACCCAAACAATGAACTCAGTAGTAGTGGTGGTGACACAAAGAGCACAATACATTACAAAGGGAGCATCCATCTTATTTCACTCTGGCACGAGTAGCGATTCCATTGAGATATTCAATAAGCGTTGAGGAGGGACATTCATCCTCTGCAGGCAACTTTCTGCATCGAAGTGTAAGTCGCAGAGTTCGCCATCTTCTCTCAATCTCTTGTGTGCTCAGTGCCTGCAGAACTGCAGGAGTAAGCGGACGAAGTAGACACCACTCGGCAAGAACTCGCACCACTTCCAAACGAAGATCCTCTTCATTGCTTTCGGCAATCAAAAACTCACCAAGAACAAACTCACTCTCCTCGGATTCACATGAAATCTTGTCACGACGATTACGGGGGAGATCATCCGTTGCATTGTAACTACTAATAGGCTGAGTGGATTAAAAGAAGCACACAGAGATTAGAGAGGGCTTGGAATTGATAAAATGGTGGAACACTACCAGTAATTCACCCAACAATTACCCATAGGATTACTCAACTTATTCAGCCTCAGGATAACTCACAAATGAGACCCAAATTGGACAGCCCTTTAAACGCTCTTCGTTTGGCCTTAAATGCCTAATTCCAACTTAACGCTTGCAATTCGGATGAATACGCCAGCTCACCCTCTTAGAACAACATTCTCATCTAACACACGACTCAACTCACGTGTTCCTGCAATTTGGAAAAGCATATTTTTTTCATGCTAGCAGTTGGAATTAAGAGAACTAAAAATGTCTCCAGGATAAAACTCAAGCGGTTTATAAGAATGGCATTATTTGGGATTAAAGCTACCTCATTTTCTCCCCCCACTTGGAAGGTAACACTGAGGAATGGGATAAAAATTTCGCCCGTAAACAATTTGTAGCTTTTGTAAAAGTCGACGTCTCTTAAAAAATGATCAAAGTTTAAAAGAAAAAAAGCAAAATTCCTACATCAAAGCATTGCTGTTAGTGAACTATCTTACTAAAATGTGTGATAGAAAGCAGAAACGGACAATCGTCAGTGATTTGAGAGGAGTCTATACACTTCATTTACAAAAGAATCCTCAAGCATCGAATGTATCGATTGATGTTCACGTGGTTGCAAAATGGAGTTAAGAACACGTTCTTGCTAATCAACTAACCAATCCAAACCCTGTTGATGAATTATTAGGGACCTGCCTTCCTACTACATCCGAGCATCTCTTAGTGAGTTATAAAAGTACATCCGGTCAGATCAAACGATGGGTAATAAGCTCATAGGGGGGAAGTAATTACATATCAGTCAGCAATACCGCAAACAAGCCTACTAAGAGCCCACAGTCGTTGGAATATCATGAAGAGACATTAAATGGGCAAGTAAAAAATGGCTGAGAGGCAGGAATTTAGATGGGAAATGGGAAAAGGGAAACATTTAGGGATTTAGTTCAAGTGGCTGACAGTTCCCGAGATCTCCACTGAAATCACATATTACTGCAAGTACTTCTCCGAAGTTATGAAAAAATCGGCTTCCAAATTCAATTTGATTGGTGTTTACTGGAGGTATAGCTTTTTAGTCAAAATAATTATATAATCAGCTTGGAAACAACACTCCCAGACACACTGGTCTTTGACAATTTCGGCATCACACGTCACTGCTAATCACAATTATGGGATTAAAAAATGTCTTTCAAGCAGAGAGAAGAGAAAAAAACAGCCCGACTACACTGTCGAATCGGACTGCCAAGAGTGGAAATCGTCTAACCCCTAGACAATTAGACAAGTGAGTGATTTTGTGTGCTATTCGAGGTGAATGGAAATAATTACTTAATAAACAAAATAGTTGTGGAAATGTTTTAATGAATGCTATGTAGGTCACCGAACTTTCTCACGGTAGGCAAAACGGACTATGCGCCGACAGTGCAATATCATTATTATTATTATTATTATGATTATTATCATTACAACCTCAGAAAATCTTATTGGTTAAGTGGAGTAAAATTGCCGACCGGTAAAAAGTGATACGAAACCAACTCCTCTCTCTCTCTCTCGCGCACACACACTCTTCCTCGATACCCTGAAAATAAGGTGACAATTTTAAGTAAAAGTTCATTCCCGTTGGTTTTAAATTGAACATTTGGCTGTCAAGTGACAAAGCAACACCAAAACTTCCAATTAACCAGGTGATTTTATGAATGAAGATACTCAAATATGGGTTGACAGAACAAAAAAATGTGGAATAAATTTCAAATGATAAATTCATACTCCCATTAGGGCTCAATGATTATCACTTAGGCATAGGTTCTAGGAGTTGCGCAGTTCCAATTAAGCATACAAATGGAGTATACCGACTTAACGGGGTCAACATCTATAGCAAAAAAATTTGAACTACCATCTGATGACCAAACAACGCATTTATTCTTTCGCATAACGACGTCTGAGTTCTATGAGTAAAGGGGGAGGGGG